TCCTCACTGTACGGGTAGCTGGGGAGACACGAAGGCAGAGGGTCAGCCGGTCAGCTTGGGCCGTCCTCAGCCCCAAAGGGACGGCTGTGCCAATTCTCTCCCAATACACCTTAGAATGGCCAGGGCTACCCAGGGAACGCATACACGTATGGAAGTTTCTAGAATATAAAACCAAATTCACAATTTAAGTTCTATATCAAACTTATTTTTATGTGAGACTAAATTTTAGTTATAGCACAGTATCTTCACATCAGTCCTTCTTTTACTGCATGAAATTGTCTGTTGAGCTTTGGTTTTGTTGGTATTTTTGAACATGGTCTAGAGTATGATGAAAACCTCCACGGAAACAAAATGGCAGCCAGTGTCATCCGGTCCCAGGATGCTCCTCCGCCCGGCGACTCGGCCCCAGGACGCTCCTCCACCCGGCCACCCAGCCCCAGGACGCCCCTCCACCTGGCCATCCGGCCCCAGGATGCTCCTCCGCCCGGCGACCCGGCCCGGCTCAGCTCGAAACGCCTCTAAGTGCAGGCAGCTCTGGGGTGTGGGGTGTGGCACCTGTATCTCTGCTTTGACCAATGCCGCTCCCACCTCGGGCAGCGTCCAGGTGCTCAGGCCGTGGCCTTGAGTCCCTGCTGTGGTGGGGCGTGACTGTCCCTGACTCACTGCTTCCCGGGCCTGCCCATGCCCTCTGTGGGTCTGGGAGTGGGACTGGCCACGCGGCGGTGCCACTAGCCCTGAGGGCGGAGCCCTTCACCCACACAGTGAGCACATCCCTCACCACCCGCGGTCTGCTGGCTGTGTCTCTGCCACCCACTGCTGGCCATGGCACAGCTCATCTGGGCTCCTCAGCGGCCTTGCTGCGTCTCCGAGCCGCCGTCGGCCCTGCCCTCACACAGCAGTGCAGTCCACACACATGTGGACTTATCAAGCCTCCAGATGAATGGAACATGCAAGCACAGCCCCCACTTCTGGGCCTGCAGGTTCTCAGGGGACCTGGCCCACCCATAAGGCTGCAAATCCACCCCCAAATGGGCATGTCGTTTGGGACTGCACTGAAGTAGTAATGAATTCCACTTGGAGTGAACGAACCCTGGGGGTCCTGTGGCTGAGCTCAGCCACCTGCCCTAAGTGCAGTGTCTGCTGACTCTCAACATCTCCGTGGCCTTCATCAGTGTCTCAAGAGTTTTTCAGTTAGTTCCAAAATATCATACAGCACCTGTCGCGACTGGGATCTGATTCTCTGTGAAGTTTCCCTGTTGGCCGTGATTGAGTTTCGGGTCCATCCTGGCACCACAGCTGCGGATTCTGCAGCCCCTCCCATGTCCCCCAGGCCCCACCCACAGGGGCACCTGTGAGCCCTGTGCCCAACCATCTGGAAACAGCTGGGGACTTGGAACTTGCTCTGCCCTGACGCAGGAGCCCCCACCCTTCCCCGCGCTCCAGCGGGAGCCATGGCTTCTACCCGGCCTGGGGCAGAGTCACTACTTGGTTAAAAGCAAAACCTACGCAGGGCCTACGTGTTATGCACGTTTCTGAAGAGCACAGAGCATAGAACAGTTGCATGTTTTTTCAGAAGCAGCAACCTGGCGGCCTGTCCCATTTCACACGTTTGAGAGGCTGGGTCACCTTGTTCAGGAGCTTCTCAGCTGATCCCAACCGTAGACACGAGTGGAAACTGGATGCAGGTAGGTTCCTGTCCAGTCCCCGGACACATGTCCACTGCATCCGGACACACGTCCACTGCCCCCCCACATGTGTCCACTACCCCTCTGGACACGCGTCCACTGCCCCCCCACGTGTCCACTACCCCTCTGGACACACGTCCACTGCCCCCTGACACGCATCCACTGCCCTTGACACGCATCCACCTGCCCCTCCGCACTCCAGCCGAACACGCATCCACAGTGCCCTGGGACACGCGTCCACTGCCCCCCAGACACCTGTCACTGCCACCCCTAGAACTGCCCCCAACGCACGCGCCACTGCTCCCCAGACATGCTCCACTGCCCGGACAGCGTCACTGCCCCAGACGCGTTCACTGCCCCCTAGACACGCCGTCCACTGCCCCCCTAGACACACGTCCACTGCCCCCCTAAAAACTGCCCCCTGGACATGCGGTCCACTGCCCCCGGACACACAGTACCACAGCCCACCGGTACACGCGTCCCACTGCCCCCTCCGCACGTGTCCACTGCCCCCCGACACACATCCCATGCCCCATGAATGCCCCCTGTGACATGCTCCACTGCCCCAGACATGGCATCCACTGCCCCGACACGCATCCACTGTCCCCCCGACATCGTGCAACCTGCATACACAGCAGTGGCACCGAGGCCTGGCCAGCTCCCTGCAGGGTACCCACGGGCGGGCAGGCAGTCCAGGGGCAGTGCGCCCCACGAGTGCCCAATCAGGGCCTGCACAGGTGGCCTGAGCTTCCCAAGGATGGTGGCTGTGCTGAGCCACACCATCTGGGCAGCCCCCGGCCAGGCCAAGTTCAGAGTGCAGTGGCTGCGGGGTTCTGGTCAGGCCTGGACGCTCTGCACAGGTGGGATCTGCTGTCTCTCAGGGCAGCCGTGGCCGTGCTGGAGCAGGACATTCCCGGCGACGAGAAGGCAGCAGCATGTGCGCTCAGAGAAACTGTGGCCTCCGCCAGCCGACACAACACAGGACGTGCCCGTGAGTGCAGCCTGCCTCGCCCTTGCTGCTGTCCGCCGCCGCTGCGGGCGCTCTGCATGTGGAGGGCAGGCTCTTGCTGCCAGGAGCATTTCTGCTGGGCTGGGGCCCCACGGTCACCACACGAGGGTCTAGCGAGGTGACGACGCTGCCCCATAAGAGCCCACGAGAGCAGCTGAAACTAAGCAGGGCTGGGAGATGCCAGTTTGGAAGGAAACTTCCAGAAGCCTCCATCTCATGCCTCTCACACCAGTGATGTCTCCACTGCAGACACTCCCACGGCGAGGCCGGTCTGGGCGTCTTACCTGAGGCAGCAACACGGACCTGTGGGACCCAGCAGGGGTGCACCCTGGGGCCACAGTTCAGCGTAAATGCGAGTTCTGGGACTGACACAGCACACCAAAGGTGATTTCTAAACAGGAAGCTGGAGCCGAACCAGTTCTCACTCCCCGTGTACCCCATGGAGCCCGGAGCGCCGGTGCCACCTGACGCCCCCTCGGGGCACGGAGAGAAGCCAGGCGTGGCAGGAAGCAAGCTGCCCTCTGTCCATGGGACAGGGTCTGATGGGCATTGCTGCTCAGACAGACTGGGCTCCAGGGATGAGCAAAGGAGAACAGGGAGGCCTGAGGGAAAGCAGCTTCCTCAGCCCATCTGCTCCAGGAGGGGCTGCCCTGGGAGTGTTCACAGGTGACTCAACAGGAGGAAGAAGCCTGGGTGAGAAGCGTGTCCTGGCCTGGCTGTCGGGGGCAGCACCACCGACAGGGGTGCTCTGGCCCCCAACACCCAGGGAGAAATGCAGGCGGGGCTGGTTCCACCTGGGTCTGGGGAAGGCCAGTGTGGACTGCACACCACTGCTGTACCCATGGGCGGGAGGCACTGGTGGGGCCACACCAGGGAGAAGCAGGACGCGGGGCCTGGACGCTGCCCACCAGTGACTGACGCAGGAGCGCCAGGCATGTGGGCTTATCTGAAAGCACACCTGTTGGGTGCTGCTGCGTGGGCGGAGACAAAGGACGGGTGCATCTGCCCCCACAGTGTGGGCGCGGCTGTGACAGGGTGAACAATCGTGCTCCTGTGCTCGCCTGCAGGCACTGCCCTTCCTCCCTGCCCCTTTCCTCTCCACAGGATGCGGGCAGCGGCCCCTGTGTAGGCTGCATGGCAGATTGTTTGCGGTGGCCAGGCTGACTGGCCCTGCCGACAAGGCCCAGCTTTAGGACCTGAGCAGACTGGGCTGGGCTGGGCAGGTAGGGTCGCCACGGGCCTGAGAAGCAGACAACAGGCGGCTTCCCGTGCAGCTTGCAGGCACCACCGGCAACGCTGGCTTCAGACACCTGCTTCCAAACACACCAGCTGCCACTGAAACTCCTGAAAAGGAAAAGTCCCTAAGGCCAAAGAAAAAGAACCAAACAATTACAGCTGCGGCAACACTGAAGCTCCCGAGTGGGAGGAGGAAGCAGCACAGACGTCTTCTAAGAGGGTCTGGGGGGCTGGGCATGGGGGCTCACACCTGTCATCCCAGCACTTTGAGAGGCTGAGGCGGGAGGATCGCTTGAGCCCAGGAGTTTGAGACCAGCCTGGACAACATAGTAAGACCCCGCCTCTATACAAAATAAAAAAGTTAGCCAGGCGTGGTGGTGCACACTTGTAGCCCCAGCTACTTGGGAGGCTGAGGGGGGAAAATTGTTTGAGCCCAGAAGATGGGGCTGCAGGGAGCCAAGATCACCACTGCACTCCAGCCTGGGCAGCAGAGCCAGGGGCTGTCTCGGGTGCTCCCCTCGCCCACATCTCGAAGGACAAAGCTCTTGGGGTGACCAGAGCCCTTGGCAGGCCTTTCTGTGGGACGGGTTCCCTCACTATCCTCCCCTTTGGCACAGGTCCCACAGTCTGTAGGAGCCGCAGGCAGCCAGGGTTCGTGACCACCAGGCGGACGGGTGGCCTCGCTCCCTCCTGAGCAGCTTGCAGGAAGTAGAGCTCATTTTGTAGATAATTATTACACTATAAATACACATCTAAAGACGGAAGAATGTAAATTATGGCCCACGGAAAGTTTGAAAGGGGCCTCCTAATTCCTAATTTAAAAATATTTGTGTCCATTAAAGAGAGACGACCTCTGGCTGGACTTGTCTGGGCAGTTCACTCCTGTGTTGCGTATATTTTTGTCTTTTTCAAAAGTTAAAACTTGATCTTGCTCAGTAATTGTTTGGTCCATGAAAACATCTCTTTCCCGCCTCTGAGACTCCGTCTTTCTTTGGGAGGGAGTGATTTCTTCCCATTCGACGTGCTCTGAGTGCAATAAAAACTTTGAAACGTTTTGACGGGTAGTGATAGAACTTCTAAATTTTTCCATTTATTTCAGTAAACTTCACTTCACAGTGAGGCACACACAAGGCCAAGCACACACGGGAAGTGGGTGTTCACCAGCTCACCGCACACTGCCCGGTCCACAGCCTGGAGGCCTCCACCCGAGAAGGCGGTGGGAGGTGATTCCCCGCCTGCAGCAATGGCACCCCGTGGGGTCCCAGGACCTCCTCTCCACCTGTGCCACTCAGCTAATGGCACCCCGTGGGGTCCCAGGACCTCCTCTCCACCTGTGCCACTCAGCTAATGGCACCCCGTGGGGTCCCAGGACCTCCTCTCCACCTGTGCCACTCAGCTAATGGCACCCCGTGGGGTCCCAGGACCTCCTCTCCACCTGTGCCACCCGGCTTTAAACTCGCTTGTGCAGCGGTGTGCAGTGGCGGCTGGTTGCTGTGGCCTCCGTGTCAGTGCTGAGTGTCCATCCCACTCTTCGTGGGCACTAGGGATACTTCCAAGTTTTGGGCAGTTCTGGAGTTGGCGTGTGGCCCCGTGGGTCCCTGGGACCCCTGCAGCAGTCTGCCAGGGGAGATCTGCATTCACGAGGACACTAAGGTGATATTCGCTGATTTCACAGAGCTGGCGTTGCATGGACGTGGCAAACGTTGCCCAAAGTGGTAAAACTGCTGGCGCTGGCATGGGAACCAGGCAGAGGCCAGGCCGCGTTGGGTGGGGTCTCTCCCAGGGTCAATCCCTCAGCACTAAACAAAAAGCCACCTCCACTCACAAGTGAAGCAGGAAAAATCATTCCTTGTGTTCAACTTCAGGCCTGGGAGATGGGGTCTTGGGCTGGGTGGGATGAGATGAGGCCTCCAGGGAGCCCTCTGCCCAGAGGGACGACATGGCCCTTGTCTCTCAGGGGAGCATGCCTGCCTCTGAGTTGTCAGCTAAAGCAGCTGCTCGTTTTCAAGACACCATGTTTTGCCAGAAAGACTGACAGACAGACTGTGGTAACTCAGACCTTGGTGGCTGACAGGCGTTTTCTGCAGAAGGGCGGACGCGCCTGTCGCTTCCAGCAGCAGAGGATGCCATTTGCTCCCAATGACAAAATTTCAGCTTTCAGGAAGGCACCAGGGTGCTGGAAAATGTATTTCATGGAGGCCGGCGGTGTCCCCACCACACAGACGCCTCCGCTGAGCTCCGCCATTCTGAGGAAGGTGCTGCATGCACTGGGTGCCAGACGAGCCACATCGAGACGCCCACACCCTGGGTGGCTGGGATTTCCTGGGACCTAGGTGCACGGCCGCCAGACCATGCGCTGGTGGAAGGTGCCTTCCCCATGCATCGGTATTTTTTTCACAAAAATGTTACTTATGTAAACGTGTAATGAGTTTGTTATTACTTTTAAAATGAACTAATAAACATTTAAAAACTGATGGCAATGACCAATAGATGGAAGACATGTGGACAAAAGCTCCAGGGTCCTCAGTAGCTGGAAGAGGGAAGTGGCCGGGCCACCGGGGAGCTCCGGGATCCTCAGTAGCTGGAAGAGGGAAGTGGCCGGACCACCGGGGAGCTCCGGGGTCCTCAGTAGCTGGAAGAAGGAAGTGGCCAGGCCACCGGGGCGGCCAGTGAGGTTCTGCGGGGCCATTTCAATGGCAGCGTGCGGTTTTCATCTGAATAAATAGAATGACGCAGTCTCTTCGCTACGTAAGGAGTCCACAGACACAGGGAGCCCCCAGGCAATGGACGTGACAGTTCCCATCTTCCATACACACAGTGTCCACACAGACAAAGAGGGAGGGCTGACTATGCGCAGCACCATGGCCCCCACGAGGAAAGGCAGCGCCCCCCACGTTCCGGAAGCAGAACCACGGCCCCCACGAGGAAAGGCAGCGCCCCCCACGTTCCGGAAGCAGAACCACGGCCCCCACGAGGAAAGGCAGTGCCCCCCACGTTCCGGAGGCAGCACCACGGCCCCCACGAGGAAACGCAGTGCCCCCCATGTTCTGGAAGCTGTAACAGAAGCCACCTGACGGCCGGCGACACTGTGGTGACTTGGGAGCGTTGGGCTCTCTGGCTGCGGAGGGGCTGATGTGGGGGCGGGTACTGTCGGGCAGGCCTGGGCCTGAAGGCTCAGCCTGCCCAGAGGAGATGGTACCATCCTTAGGGAGACGCTGAGGCCGCGAGGGGTGAGCAATGTGCCCAACTCTGCAGTGTCGGGGGCAGAGCCGGGACTCTGGTTCCGGAGGTGCTGCCCTCGCCAGCCTGTTTTATATGGGGTTTGGCGAGAAATGCTAACACCTGGAAATGCCGGACTGTCATGCCAGTAGAGGGGTTGCCGTGGAGCCGTCTTAAATCTGTTTATCTTAGAGTTAGTGACGCTTAATTCTCAAAGTTAAACTAAACATCAGAAATTCACTTCTAGCTAGGATGCACAAAAAGGCGGCGGCTCCATGCTACCACTGGGGTGTCCAAATCCCCAGCACCTGAGCCTGGGCTGTACCGGGAGCCACACGTGTCAGGAGCTACAGGGCGGGGGCTGCGGGGCTGCTGTTCGGGCGCACACCACACGTCCTGCCCTGAGGGCTCTGGCGTCTGGGGAGCCTGGCAGACCAGTGCTGGGTGAAGAAAGCCCATCGCCGCCTCTACTCACCATTAAGGGCTGATGCCACCTGACCCCACATTGGCTCAGAGCTGCCTGACCCTGCTTCCACTCACAGCCACCTGGTTTCTAGAGACCAGAGTGGGTGAGACTCATCCCTGTCACCATGGGTCCCTCGTCCCCCAGTAATTCTAAGCACATATGTAGAGCTTTAACACATTACACCCAATGGAAATAGCACATGGCACGAAAGGCCTTTGGGAGGCTGCATCGTGGGTCCATCCCGGCCCGAAGGCACCATCTTACAGCACAGGGTCCATCTTACAGCACAGACGAGTTCTTTATGGGGAGGCAGAGGCAGCCCAAGGTCTGGCCAGCCTCCTTCCCGCCTGCTCACCCTCCTGCTTCTGACCACCTCAAACAGGTCACTTTTGTGGCTGTCCCTAAAGAAAGCACTAGGAAGAACCGTGCGTTTAGTTAAGGACAAAAATTGAGGGCTGTATAAATGTCTGAAATATTAGCACCCTTTCTGGCAAAATGACAGCATTCAGTTACAATTTATTCAGAGCAGAGTTCTATTCATCCATGGGATCAGTGGCAAACGCCTTTGCGGGAGAAGACCCCGCTGGTCTTCAGACCCATCTGCCAATGATATGTTTCCTGGCGTCACTCCGCCAGCGTGCACCAACGCCCCGGGTACGGCTGTTCCTGGAGCTCTGCGCTAGGAATGCCGTCTCCTCCCAGGGTCAGCAGGTGCGGGATCTCCCCATGGAGTGCCTGCCACCCGCAGGAGGGTCCTGCCCACCAATGCTGACATGGTGCCTCAAGCCGCTCCAAGGCAGTGAGCTCACCTCCGCCCAAAACTGGGGTGGGGACTGGGTGGCAGGGACAGGAAGATGCACTTGGCTGCTCGGCCGGTTTGCAATGTGTTCACTCAAACCACAACAGCAAAAATTATGAAACGATTCTGAAAACCGGGAGCCACAGTGAGAAGGAGATGCTGCCAGACCAGCAGGTGCAGATGGCGGCTCGGCTCCCAGCTTCTGAGGAGCTGGGGCAGACACAGGCCCCAGGCAGGCCATGGCAAGGATGCCCCCCAAGGCCTCAGAGCCCTGGCAGCCTTCAGGAAAGCACAGGAAGGCCAACACATCCTGACAGGTGTGAAGCTGCATGGGGCAGAGTGTGAGGTGGCAGGTGGACGAGCCTGGCATGCAGGGGCACTCGGGACCCCCCGGCAGGGCAGAAGCAGTGGGAAAGCAGAAGCCACTCTCACACAGCCAAATGCCGAGGAGCAAGCCCGGCTGGCATGGGCACCCTGGGAATGCTGAGGGTCGGGGTCCACGGATCTTTCTGGAATGCCACTGGACATGAGGGTCTCTCTGTGGGCCTGTGTCCTCAGCAGTCAGACTTCAGATGCAAGTGGGAGTGGGGAGCCCTCCAGGAAGAGGGGTGTGGGCCCGAGATCCCCTGGGGCTTCCTGCACCTCCTGCAGGATGAGGCTGGTGTGCAGGGCAGGGACCCTTGGTGCCTTTGCAGAACAGGAAGGAGCTTGTGAGGAGGGTGGGAGGCCGGGGCCACCACTGCCTTCCAGAGGCTCCTCTGACCTGTCTGAAAACTCCCCTGGACACCAAAGTGCTCTGCCACTTTCAAGGCTCAGCCCTCAGCGCTGCCTCTGACTTCGGGAAAGCCTGAGTCAGCTTTCTGAGGCTGCATCCTCCGGCTCCCAACCTTGCTCCCAGCTGAGAGGCAAAGTCCACATCTGCCAGTGGAAGTCCCCTGTAGCTAACAACAGTGAGAACTGCTCTGTGCCAGCAAATCTGCATAGAAACGCACACAAACACCCACACCCAGGCACACATCTCCATGCGTGAACACACATACGTGCACACACACCCATAGAACACACAGTCACATGCATATGTCCCACACACCCACAAGTCACACGTTCTCACTCATGTTCACATATGCAACCATGTATGCGAACACACCTCGTGCACACACATCCACAACTGTGTGATGCATGTCCCACACACATTGGCACCAGGTCTGCACATCCACGGACGCCACGCAACGTCTGCACCAGGTCTGCACATCCACGGACACCACGCAACGTCTGCACATCCACAGACACCACGCAACATCTGAACCAGGTCTGCACATCCACAGACACCACGCAACATCTGAACCAGGTCTGCACATCCACAGACACCACGCAACATCTGAACCAGGTCTGCACATCCACAGACACCACGTGTCTGCACATCCACGGACACCACGCAACACCTGCACATCCACGGACACCACGCAACACCTGCACATCCACGGACACCACGCAACACCTGCACATCCACGGACACCAAGCAACATCTGCACAACCACGGACAGCACGCAACGTCTGCACATTCAAAATCAGGTGCACACACACGCATGCCTTAAACACATCCACACCCATGTAGACACACTGCATTTGGAGGTCCCAATACTCCCAGAAAGATCCATAACACACAGTCCGCGTGGGCCCCTCGTGTGCAAGTCTGATAAGGCTGTTATTTTGCGTATTGGAAAAAAGCTTTTTTGAAAAAAGATAACAATTACTTATTATTCTCAGCTGCTTGCTTTCTTCAGGTCATGAAAAGGGCAGGAGAAGGCGCAGTTTGCACACAACTGCAGGACACACAGATATGTGTGCACACACAAACAAAAACACCATGCACACAAGAACACACAGACACACTTGTGCTCATGTGCACACACAGATGCACATGTGCACACACAGATGTATACGTGCACACACAGACACGCTCGTGCACAAGTGCACACAGACGCACACATGCACA